TTCTACTCAATGAATGGTGCCAGGCACTGAGATGAAAAAAGACACCGTCCCTGCACTTAAGACATTTATAATCTAGAAGAGGGAGGCAGAGATATAAGCAAATCAGTGCTCTGAAAGGTGTTATAGGAGATATAACAGCATGCCTGGTGCCTCAGTGGGGACCATATTGGAGAGGTGGGAGGTGGGAGTGGTGACAGGAAGAGTGAGGATGTGGGATGGAAAAAGACATGGAGGTGGAAGTAGGAAACAGTGGACCTATTTGGGTGAAATTACGAGTATATTGGTATGGGACTAGTATGGTGTGGAGTGGGATGCGGTTATGGCAAGAGACAGGCTGAATATTTAGAACTTTAGATGCTTTGTTTAGGAATTTGGACTTTATCCAAAGGATTTACCAGAATGTGTTCTGCGGGATGGTGTTAGGAAAGAAAGGGGTTTTCTATGGTCAAAACTATGTGAGAGGCACCAACTGAGACAAAACAGGTGTATACACTGCAATGCCTCTCGGACCTTTTATATTGGGTAGCATTTCCATAGTTGTTTGACTACTTAACTTGCTTGGAAGAGTATTTCCCGTTTCTCATAATATGGTTTGGGAGACCCTGCAATATGCAATGAGGAATCATGAAAAACTTTTCAGCAGAGAACTATAGACAATCGTGTAATCTGATTCTATTCTCAACACAGAGTGTGATATTGCTCATTAGAATTGTTCAACCAGTATTTTTTAACACCACATATTTTCAAAATGATGTGCTAGATATTACAGGAAATTAGAAAGATGCATAAGTTATGTGTCTGACAGAAACATGTTGATTATCTATAAATGGTTTTCATCTATTCAATTATTTCATCTATGCCAGCGGTTCTCAACCTGTGGGTCGCGACCCCTTTGGTGGCCAAATGACCCTTTCACAGGGGTCGCCTAAAACCATCCTGCATATCAGATATTTACATTATGATTCATAACAGTGGCAACATTACAGTTATGAAGTAGCAACAAAAATAATTTTATGGTTGTCACAACATGAGGAACTGTATTTAAAGGGCCAGAAGGTTGAGAACCACTGAATTCTATTCAAATATTCAAAGGCAATACAAAAGTGAGGAAGTTGAGGATAGACTTGAGAATTAGAGATGTTCTTGGTGGCCCTTCTCAGTGCTGATTCCTACAGGGTGTTTAATGCTCATTCTTTCGCCAAATATTGTCCCCACTCAGAAGCATGAGCTTCTTCTAGGACAAGAATTGTGTCTGGCTGGGGATTTCACCCAGGCAGCTCAGGGAGTGCAGTGGGAAGAAAGCTAACAAATTGAAACTTGAATTTTATTTTTTGGGGGGTGACTGTTAGCTTGGCCCTCAAAAGTACCATACCATCAACATATTGGAGCTTTGGTATATTCAAGTGGAGTCTTTAGAATATATCACAGGTGTATCCAGGGAGTTTGGAGAAAAATTTTAAAGGTGAAAGAGAAAGGGAAGTTGCATTTCATGAAAACAGAAAGATCAAATCTAGAAATCTGAGTATGTCTCAAACTTTTTAATTAATTCCCTACTTTCTTCTCACTCCTTAAGGTTTATTATCAGCCACATTATCTGATAGGTACACATAGAATCAGATTGTCTAGAATGGGTTGGTACTTCTTCAGGCTTTTTATTTTTAATATATTTTATTCATTTTTTACATTGAAGACGGAAGAGGGATAGAGAGTTAGAAATATCGATGAGAGAGAAACATCGATCAGCTGCTTCCTGCATACCCCCTACTGGGGATATGCCCGAAACCAAGGTACATGCCCTTGACCAGAATCGAACCCGGGACCCTTCAGTCCGCAGGCTAACGCTCTATCCACTGAGCCAAACCGGTTAGGGCTTCTTCAGGCTTTTAATCAGCAGTTGTGTGGTGGTCAGTAGCACTAGCCCTGGAGCTAGCTGGTCTGGGTTCAAATCTATTAAAACACATTCAGTACAATTATCTAAGGGACCTGCTCTTTATTAGCTTAGCTGTAAGATTTTAGGCAAATTACTTAACCTCCCTGTATCTGTGTTTCTTCTTCTAAAAATGGGGAAAATGATAATAGGTATCTCATAAGGCCATGAGGACTAAAAGAGATAATCCTGTGAAGTGCTTAGAATAGTACCTGCCACATGCCAAGGGTTTCATCAACTGTTATTTTTAGGATATCTCTGTCCTACCTTTTTTTTTTTTTTTTATTAGGATAACTCATTGTGGAAATCCATCAAAGAGTAGTTAGCTTTCTGGCCTAAATAGGACTCTGTCTTTGAAGAATGGCCTGCTAATTCTAAATAGGTTTGGGTTTAAATGGACTATTAGAAAATTTTAATTCTGTAATTTAAAAATATAGCCAATATTTATTGACTTAAATAATAATAGCTAACATTTGCTGAGCTTATACTATGTACCAAGAGTTGTTACAAGTCCTTTTTACCAATTAACTAATTTTAGAGTTGAGGAAACTGTCACATTGGAATCATTGAGATGGTAAGTGACTTGCCCAAGGTAATACAACTAGTTAGGGGCAGGACCAGGATTCAAACCGAGACCATCCAACCCCATAGCTCACACACATCCATCATGATAACCCATCTTTCATGTAAATGCATTCTGTATTTTAGATAGGTTTGCCAAAGTGTTTCATTTGATTTACTGTAAACATAAATTAAGTGAAAAACATTAGTGAAAAATTAATTTTGCTAAGTCATTACAGCATAAGAAGATTTCTTTTTCTGTTGTAGAGATAAGTTACTCTTGGTGCCACATGTTACAGCCATTTTAATTATGATTCTTTTGTTCTTTGGAAGATTATGAGTTGGATTTCACCAAGGCATCCAGACACAAGCATCCATTCTTTAGAACAGTTTTTCACTTTACATCTCAACTACATATTTTTGGAATAGTGTTTAAGTAATATCACTTTGCATGCATTTTGCAAAATTAGCTGGTTTTTCACTATAATTAGAGTTAAAACATTAAAATAATTAGGGTTATATCAAATCCTATCCTATGAAATACATACTTTGTAGCATTGGAAAATGCAGAACATTGAAAAAAAATCACTTTTTGTAATCTTCAGTGTAAAAAGACTACACTTTGTAAAAATTATCCATCATTTCTGTTGCTCTACTTTATTGGCGCTAATGTAGCACTTTCTGGGTTTGCTTTTAAAGAAAACTGGGCAAAACTAATTTGCCACTAGATGGAGCCCTGGCTATTTGGGTAAAAATAAATGCAACAGAGTGGGAACATTAAATCACACAGTCATATCATGCTCCAGGGCCCCCGGTATTTGAAGCCCTCAGCTTTTAATTGTAGAATGCATCTTTGTTCTTTGCCTGACCTGCAGAGTGACATCACTCCCTTTCTTCCTGTGCGCTGGCTTTGACACAAGCCAGATGGCCACAGCCATCGGTAGGCGCGCAGGCCGCCTGGTACAGCAGTTGATGAAGCAGAATAGGAAGACGTTTTATGATCAGCTGCGGGAGCTCAATGAGGCCGTGGCTTTGCTAAGTAATTACATTTACCATGCACACTTTATTCCTCACAGAGAAGGTCACAAGGAAAAAATACATTTTTATTTATAGTGTTGTGAGGTATAGACCTTTGATCTTTTATTAGTCAGTAGTCTGCTCCAAAGGAATGCTCTCTTTTCCCTGCTCTGCAATCACTCGTGGAAATGGCATGTTTATTTACGTTTAATGGTTCTTTCAGGCTGTGCATTGTGATACTTACCTTCCCTCTTCCTCCCTTTTGTCTCCAGTTAGTCACACAAAAAATGTTTTAGTTTTGTAGTGAGTTTAGTTTGGAGAAGTCAGAGTTCAGGCATGTTAATACAAGCAGATTTTTGTCAGATATACTCCAGAGTGATTTGGTTAAATATATTACTGTTTACTGTGTGTTTGTTCTTCAAGGAGGTCAGAAGAGACCAGGAACAGACTTTTATTTTGGGGGGCTGAGGGTCAGGAAATGAACTAGACAATAATTTTATATCCATTTTTGAACACATAGTGGATAAGGTCACTTATAATGCCAATTTTAAAGAAAATATTAGAATATTAATCTATTATTTTCCATCTGCACTTGAAGTTAATCTTTACCAACAGAAAGATTGTACAAAACTTTAAAGAAAATACTAACTGCACTTTTCTCTGAAGTTCATCACTCAATTTTGAGATTCTTCCACAAGACTCATTTCTAAACACTTTAAAAAAATATCTTTGCCATTTTTAAGACTAGTTTGTGAATATTATTCACAGAATTAATGTAGAAATTATAAACTATAAAATCATATGAAAAATTCATTTTCGCTATGCTTTGTTCAAACTTAACACTGTTTCTAAAGTGAAGTCTCTGAGTGGTCCCTAGGTTATTTGGCTCTCAATTAATAAAAAATGAAACTCTAATAAAAGAAATCTCTTAATCTTACAGTATTTTATAGTCTTTTCCAGGGAGGGCGATTTGCAAAAATTGTTGGAAGAAAGCAGCGTGGTGTAAGGAAAGAACATGGCTTTGCAGTAGATGTTACAGGGTTTTCTAATCCTTTTCACTGGTTATTTGCTTTGTGCCCTTGGACCTCTGAGCCTCGGTTTCCTCACATATTTATTGGGGGATAAAACCTACCTCCTAGGTTTACTGCAAGAATGAAATGATACAATGTGTTTATTAGGCCCCAGACAGTTCCTGTCACATGGTACAAACTTAGTGAATGCTAATTCCTTTCAACTGTTTTAAAGTTCCTCTCTTTTCTGAACGGCTTGCAAAATGTGTTCACAGATTACACTGTTATTATTGTATATATTTTATTCATAAAATATAAATAATCCTGGGTTGAAAGTGAGCTCACCATTTGAAAAATAGGCGTTTGAAATGTATTAGCACTGTGTATGTGTGTTCGGTTCCAGATAAAACCGTAACCATCAATTGTGCAATGGATGTGTTTAACATTTGTGATGTTTTAATTTTTTTCTTTTTTCTCCTACTCAGCTCTTGCCCCAGTTCTTTGGCTCTCGTTTTGTTGGTGAAGATATCACAGTGATGTCTGCATTCAACCTGCTGCATTTGGTGACAAAGAGCCAGCCAGTGGCCCTTCGAGCCTGTGGGCTTCCCTCAGGTCACTGCTTCTTGTACTCTACCTAGTGAGGGCACTGGGCGGGTGGGTGTTTCTGCTGCAGGAAATGATACACCATAATGCTTTGCTAAATTTCGTTTTCTTTTACCTAGGCCCTAATTTGAAGACGGAAATTGGTTATAAATCACCACTCTACTTTGAGTAACATTCACTTCCACAATCCTTAAACCCTTGGAAACACTGTTCAGTTTTCTAGCTCAGCATATAATTGTCACTAATATTTCATGATATCTTCTTGTTCTTTAATGCACGCTACACATCTGAAAATCATAATGCTATTCATAAGAGGCTAGCAGTCTTGGTAAGAAACTGCCCCAAATCACACAAAATAAGACATTCATCTTGTTAAAGGATAATGAAATACTTTTTATTCCACATGTGGTCATTCCTTTAGGAAATAAAAAAAATTAAAACGAACAACTTTCGTATAATAAAGTTAGTTCTTGTAGTTAAAAAGAAAAAATGTTCTACTGAACAAATGACCAAATCAACAGAACTAATATAGCATGTTTCAACTGATTTTTAAATTAGAACCACCACACTTTTAAAAAATGTGATTTTATGCGCTTAAACAAGTGCAGCATGAAAGTCCAAAATTTCATTATATGCCTGTATACAATAAGTTTAATACTTTAATTTATTTAAACAATCACAATGGTCAGATATGTCTGTGAATATTGTCATTATTATTTACTAGAGGCCCGATGCACGAAGAATCATGCAAGAATAGGCCTTCTTTCCTCTGGCTGCTGGCACCGGCTTCCCTCCGGCACCCAAGACCCAGGCTGCTTCATTCCGGCTGCTGCCAGGCACCCGGGACCCGGGCTGCTTTGCTGTGGCTGCCACTGCCACACACTGGGACCCGGGGTGCTTCGCTCCAGCCACTGCCAGGCATCTGGGACCGGGGCTGCTTTGCTCCAGCCGCTGCTGTCACCCACTGGGGGCATGCTCCGAGCCATGCTGCAGCCACTCAGAACACGTCCCCACCCCTGGTGTGTGTCCGCTGGGGCTGGGGGTGGCACAGAGTCCCCTCTGCCCATACACACATATGTATATATCTATATCTATATGTATATATCTATAGCTATATATACATATAGATATATATACACACACACGCACATACATACATACTAGAGGCCTGGTGCATGAAATTTGTGCACAGGAGTGTGTGTCCCGCAGCCCAGCCTACACCCTCTCCAATCTGGGACCCCCTAGAGGGATGTCCGACTGCCTGTTTAGGCCAGAACAGGCAGTTGGACAT